GTTCCCGTAGACTTCCCCATCATGGTAAATGGCAACTCTGTTTATCTAGTTTCTCAGAGCTGACCATGGAGTCATCCTAAGTCCCCTCTCTCTCCCACCCACAGTTTTAACCCTCTGGCAAATCTTGTCTGTTTAAAATCAGTGCCGAATCAGACCACTTCCTGCCACCTCCTCTGCCACCACCCTGGTCCATCCCACCCTCGCCTGTCACTAATATTGTTGAAGAAACCTTCCCCTGGTCCCCCTTCTCTCTCTACGGTTTTCTACATGGCAGCCTGACAGATCCCGTTAAAACAAAGTCAGACCCTGCCCTTCCTCTCCTCAGCACCTTCCCAGGTTAGGCCTGACATGATCAGGTCCCCATATTCTCCCAGCTCCTCTCCAAACCCTCTTGTTGTTGCTTATGCATCTCCAGCCACCTAGGCCTCCTCCCTCTTCCTCCACACCTCAGGCATGCCTGGGCCTCTGAGCCATTGCACTTGCTGTTCCCTCTGTTCTTTCCACTCTCCCACTTCCTTCAGGTCTTTAGTCAGTAGTTGCCTTCTCAGGAAGGCCTTTCCCGACATGTCTAATTAAAAATCACACCTTCTCGCCCTAGCCAGTTTGGCTCAGTGGATAGAGCGTCGGCTTACAGACTGAAGGGTCCTGGGTTCGATTCTGGTCAAGGGCACATGCCCCGATGCCCGGGTTGCGGGCTCAGTCCCCAGTAGGGGGCGTGCAGGAGGCAGCCGATCAATGATTCTCTCTCATCATTGATGTTTCTATCTCTCTCCCTCTTCCTTCCTTTCTGAAGTCAATAAAAATATATTTAAAAGTCAAATAAAATCACACCTTCCCTACATATGACACTCCCTACCCCCTGCCCCTGCTTTATATTGCCTTTTGGTACTTGTACGTATCAACCCTATTGAGTACAGTATTTTACTTATTTCTATTGCTTCTCATCTTTAGGATCCATAAGGGCAGGAATTCATTGTAGTTTGTAAGCTGTGTTGACTGTGGTTTGTTTGCACAGCACTCAGGACCATCCCTGGCACAATCTTATCGATTGGCTGACTAAATGAATGACACATCAGCTATGGGTCCTGCCCAGTGGAAAGTCCAAGCACAGATCCTGGTCGATGGAGATGTATACTTACCTGAAAGCCACCGAAGGGAGTTGGCATACATGGCAGAACGTTCAGCAGCACTCATTGTATCATTTGGGATTGTGTTTGGCTGCCAGTATCAGAAAATGCTACTTCAAGAGTAGAAACAAATGAATGGATTTATTTTTCTTATTAAAATAAGTCTGGCCTCTCTCGGGTCCTCATTTCCAAGATGACCAAGAAAAGAAGGAATATGCCCTAACCGGTTTGGCTCAGTGGATAGAGCATCAGCCTGCGGACTGAAAGGTCCCAGGTTCGATTCCGGTCAAGGGCATGTACCTTGGTTGTGGACACATCCCCAGTGGGAGGTGTGCAGGAGGCAGCTGATCGATGTTTCTCTCTCATCGATGTTTCTCTCTCATTGATGTTTCTAAGTCTCTATCCCTCTCCCTTCCTCTCTGTAAAAAATCAATAAAATTGAAAAGAAAAGAAGGAATAACGGTCGTGCCAAAAAAGGCCGAGGCCATGTGCAGCCTATTCGTTGCACCAGCTGCGCCCGGTGTGTGCCCAAGGACAAGGCCATTAAGAAGTTTGTCATTCGAAACATAGCGGAGGCCACAGCCGTTAGGGACATCTCCAAAGCGAGTGTCTTCGACGCCTGTGTGCTTCCTAAGCTGTATGTGAAGCTGCATTACTGTGTGAGCTGTGCCATTCACAGCAGGGTAGTCAGGAACCGTTCTCATGAAGCCCAGAAGGACCGAACACCCCCACCCCGATTCAGACCTGTGGGTGCTGCCCCACAACCTCCACCAAAGCCCATGTAAAGAGCTGAGTCTTTAAAGAGTGAAGAAAAGTTCTCTGGGGGAAAAATAAATGGAAATTGTATTTCAAAAAAAAGAAAAAAAAGTCTGGCCTGGCCAGTATGTCTCAATGCTTAAACGTTGACCCATGAACCAGGAGATCTGGGTTCAATTCCCAGCACATGCCTGGGTTTTGAGCTCACTCCTTAGTGGGGGATGTACAGGAGGCAGCTGATCGATGATGATTCTCTCTCATCATTGAGGTTTCTGTCTCTCTCTCTCCCTCTCCCTTCCTCTCTCTGAAATCAATAATAACATATGTGTGTTTTGTTGTTGTTGTTAACCTTCATCTGAGGATATTTTCCTTAGATTTTTTTAAAAGAGAGAGTGAAGGGGAGAAACGGAGAGACAGAAACATTGATGTGAGAGAGACACGTCAATTAGTTGCCTCCCGAACATACTCCAGCTAGGGCCAGGGTTCGAGCCTGCACCCAAGGTACATGCCCTTGACGGAAATCTAACCCAGGACCCTTCAGTCCACAGGCCGATGCTCTATGCATTAAGCCAAACTGGTTAGGGCTAAAATCATACTTATTTTTAAAATATATTCTTATTGATTCCAGAGAGGAAGGGAGAGGGAGAGAGAGATTGAAACATCAATGATGAGAGAAAATCATTGATAGGCTGCCTCCTGCATGCCCCCCACTGGGTATCGAACGTGCAACCAGGCATGTACCCTGACCGGCAATTGAGCCGTGACCTCCTGGTTCATAGGTCGACGCTCAACCACTGAGCCATGCCGGCCCAGCAAGAATATCTCTTTTTAGAACAAAGGGCTGCCCTGGCCAGTGTGGCTCAGTTGTTTGGAGCCTTATCCCATACACCCAAAGGTCACGAGTTCAATTCCTGGTCAGGGCACATACTTAGCTTGTGAGTTCTGTCCCTGGTTGGGGTATGTGCGAGACACAACCAATCGATGTTTCTCTCTCTTTTCCTCTCTCTAAAGTTAATAAACATAGCCTCAGGTCAGGATTAAAGAAAACAAAGGGTTGAGTTGAAAGAGAATTCTATAGAAGTGAAAACAATGAGAAAGCCGATCCACAGGCTGAGCAAGTGCTGTAGGTGGTGTTGGTCCTGGGCTGTTTGGTGGCCTCCAGCCTGGGTTTTAATGGGCTACAGGAGACAAAGCTTAGAGCCTGAGAAGCATGGGAGGTAAGGTTGGAGACCTCTAAAGTCTAGGACTCCTTAGTAGGTAAACTAGAACAAAAAATTTTTTCACACAGGAAATTGGTGGTGACATTTGTCTGTCTCACCCTGGTTGTGGATGAAAAAAAAAAGGCGGAATGTCCTATCTAAGAATTTCTAGCCAAGAACTTGCATCCTCACCAGTTTGGGGCCAGCATTCATACGGAACTGTGCAGCCCCAAGAAAACCCACGGGGAAAAGTTAGTGTAAAGTGAGTGATGAGGTGTGGGTGCCCCTCCCCAACTGAGGCATATCTTTTTGTGGAGCACCCTTTAAAGATTGACCTGAGAGAATTCCCACGGGTATGTGAGCTCTCAACCAATCAGAAGATACCAGGAAACAAGCCACTGTCAGGAAGAACAACAAACCACAGAATCAGACCTGCGCTGACCAGACACCTTGGAATTAACAGATGAGGCTACGTGCAAAACACCTTTAATGTGTTTACAGCAGAGGTCCTCAAACTTTTTAAACAGGGGGCCAGTTCACTGTCCCTCAGACATTCCACACATGCGCACTGTGGGCCCGGGACGAGTCGGCTGCTAAGCAGGACAGGCAGCGGCGGCAAAAACACCTGGCGGGCCGGATAAATGTTTTCGGCGGGCCGCATGTGGCCCGCGGGCCGCAGTTTGAGGACCCCTGGTAAAGAAATAAAGGAAGAAGTTAAAAATACAATGAAGGAACAAAAGCTAGTTAGATTTGACCTGGCAGACCTGGGAAAGAGCCAAACAACACCTATGATGATGAAAACGAATCTCATGGCAATCAGAAACTTATTGGATTGTTTACACTGCAGACCAGACAAAGCGGAAGAGAGAATTGTGAACTAGAAGATAGATCTGGAGAAATTACCTAAAAGACAGAAGAGAGTGACAAAGTGATACAAGAGAGACCAAGCCCCCCGAAGAAGTAGCAAGACCTGGCTGTGAGGGTCAAAGGGAAGAGAGTGGTTGACTCTGAACTTGGGTTTCTGGTTTCATGTTCCCTGGGAAGGGCCTTCGTAACTCCAGTTTGCATTCGGTCTTCCTTTCCCTAGGCTCAAGGAGAAAGAACCCCAGTTATGAATCCTCTCCCAAGAGAGTGAAATGGTCCAGCTGTAGCACGTCTTCATCATCCATCTTGTCAAACTGCGGCAGTTCTGGGTCTGAAGATACCTTGAGTCCCAAAGGTATTAATACCTTGAAGCCCAAAGGTAAATGTTAGGATCAATCTGGCCTGACTCGGGATGGTTTAAAGGCAGGTCATCGGACAGTGTCTGGGTGCTCAGGCGTCACTCACACCTGCCTGGACCCTTATCCCAGCCCCCAGGTTCCCCCTCCAGAGTTGACCCCCTCCCTCCCTGCTCACAGTCACCTGCTGTTCCCGTTGCCCCACAGTCTCACCTCGTCAACCTGGCATCTGAGACTCGGTGTGGCTGGTTCCTGTCTTAGCTCTCACCACAACCCTGTGCGCGGAAAACTTACTTTCTGGAGGTGCTGTTAGGGCCCCAGCCTCTGGTCTTTGCCTGTCTGTCCCCTCAGCAGGGCACTCTGCCTGCTTTGCTGGCGCGGCCACTTCCCCAGCACGGGCTCAGGTCTCCAGGAAGCCTTTTCCGAGCACCACAGGCTGGGTCAAGGCCATCTCCTCCCCCTCAGAGCCTCTCTGTGCTCTCCGTCTGCGCACCCACAGTGCCAGTGCCGGTCATTTGAGCGCAAGTCCCCTCTAGGCTCTCAAGGCAGCCAGTGAGTAAAGGAGGCGTGAGGACCACAAGCCGGTCTCCGCCCTCCCAGGCCCTGAGATCTGAAGTCGCAGCCCGAGGTGTCTCCTCTTTGTCCCTTGTTATCCTGTAGGCCCCACTACCTCTTGTGCTTTGGGTAGATGGTAGGTGGGAGGGATGGGGATGTTCGTATTTTTTTCCTGTGTCCATGTCCAGCTGATACCGTTTCCTCCTCACCACGCCACCCCATTCTCTTGCCAGCCTGGGAGCCAGTCAAGGGCAGGGCCTCAGCCTAACAAATGTCTTTATACTTAGCACAAGGCCAGGTCCTGTCTCGGGATGTTTTTGGTTGCATGTCTAGAATGTCTTTTTCCCCCTGGCAAGTTCTGTTCATTCATCAGGACCGAACTCCAATGTCCCCTCCTCCTGGAAGCCTTCCCTGACTTCTCCAGGCACAGTCAGTCTCCTTTTCATATCTCTCTGTACTGCCTTGCCTGACGGGCTGTGTCCAGGTTAGACTCACCAATCCAAGTAGGGGCTCTGGTGGGAGAGGCCCAGGTCTGACTCATGTCTTTGTCACAAAGACCTGACCCATGAGAGGTTTCAGGAACCATTTTGTTGTTGTTTTTCATTGAACAAATGAGTAAATGAACAGAACTATGATTATTGTCTCATTATTCATTCAACTTTTCTCTCCTGGATTTTCCTTTATTCTGGCCGTCCTGCTGCAGGGGGCAGTCCTCTAACCCCCAAAAGCAGCCCGCAGATGAAGAAGAAAAGCCCTCAGACACTGAAGCGGAGGCGTGTGACCATCTCCCTTGAGGCTTTGCCCACGGGGACAGTGCTGATGGACAAGAATGGACGACACTGGAAGCTGGGATCCCTGCAGACCAGAGACGACCAGGGCATTTTCTATGAAGGTACACTCCGTTTACAAGTGGGCAGGTGCTGGGCTGGGCCGGGCCATCTTGGGCATAATACACTCAGCAATAATATAACTTCCTCCCCCCATCCCACCCTGCAAACATTTTCAGTCAGCAGTTGGTTGCATCCACAGATGCAGAACCCGCCAATGCAGAGGGCCCATGTACTTCTTAACTCACCTGATTCTTACAACAGTCTCAGGACATCAGCACTGTCCTTAACCCCATTCTATAGATGAGGAAAACGAATCCCAGAGATGGGAATAACTAGCCAGAGTCTGGCTCCAGAAATCTTACAGCCGGGATGACGAAGGAAGGGTGGACACGAAGGGAGAAAAAGAGGGAGGACGCAGAGAGCCTCCTGGGACAGCCGGCGATGGCTCAGTTCACGGGCTGTAGGATGAGCTAGGCCCCGGCTGGGGCAGCTCTGCTCCTTACTGGCTGTGGCCCTCATGCCTGTTAAATTTTGAAAGCCACACATTGAGCGCTCCCGGCGCTCCCGGTGTGCCCGGTGTGGTGCTGGGCTCCCGCTCAATGGGTTCATTGAGTGGCACACGTGAGAGATGAAGCCAGCTGTGATCTGTGCCCTCTGAATCCTTGCGTCCCTCTCAGGGGTGGGCTTCCTATTTTACAGACATGGCAAGGAAGGCCCAGAGAGGTTTAGCACCTCGGACAGAGTCACACAGAGTTGATGGCAGGACTGAGCTTGAACCCAGGCTGGCCTGGCACAAAGCCTCCCTTGTGGCGTGGCCTTGCTAAGGTTTAGCTTTCTCATCTCATATGTCAGGTGGCACTAACAACGGCAGCAACAGTAATAGTATATTAGTAGATCTGCTTCCCTAAGGCTGTCCTGAGTGTTAAAGGAAAGGGCGTGTGTAAAGCACACACTTAGCACAGGGCCGGAGACATCGCAGGGTTTACAATGATGCAGAGTGGGACAGCACGCAAGGTGCTTATGAGGAAGTGCCAGGGACCAGTACCCGGGGAGGGGAGAGGAAGGAGGGGGCTGTTGCAGAGGCCTCGGTGCAGCCTGAGCTGGCCCCTGGGGGCTCCGGGGCAGAGGTGGTCCTTCTTCGGGTCCCATGTCAGGCCAGCAGGGCTGGGCCTTTGGATCCCCTTGACCAGCCTATGGCCGCCCTGGATCTGCAGCTGAGGGATCCCCGAGGGGCTGAAGGTTGCCCGTGACGAGAAGGTGGGGCTGGGCTAAGGCAACAAGTCCTCCTGGAAGGGGAGCTGCCTCCGTCACATGGCACTTACCCATACATGTAGACAAAGGCAGAGAGTTTGTCAGGGTCCCCAGGACCACCTAGGCTCAGGGATGCACTAGGACAGCAGTTCTCAACCTTCTGGCCCTTTAAATCCAGTTCCTCATGTTGTGACCCAACCATAAAATTATTTTCGTTGCTACTTCATAACTGTCATGTTGCTACTGTTATGAATCGTAATGTAAATATCTGATATGCAGGATGGTCTTAGGTGACCCCTGTGAAAGGGTCGTTCGACCGCCAAAGGGGTCGCGGCCCACAGGTTGAGAACCACTGCACTAGGAGGACCACAGGCCTCTCACGCCGTGATCCATCACAGGGAGAGGACCAGCAGTCGGCAAAGGGAGGCCAACCAGTGCAACTTCAGGGCCCTTTCCCCGTGGAGTCACACAGATGCACACTGAGACGTGACAGCACATGTGGCATGGTGTTGACCCGGGACACTCGTTAGAGACTCTGCACCAGGGTTTATATTGGGGCTGTCATGTAGGCCCCCTCTGCTGGAACACACCACCGTTCCAGACACTCGGCAGGAAAGCAGGTGTTGAGCACAAGTGTGTGCACAGGGAGCCCCTCTGACTGGTTAGAGAATGCCAGACCCTCCCGAAATCCAGCGAGGGTCGCCTTGGAGCAGGCTTTTCCAAGGAGAGCAGTCTCAGATCTGCTGTGTTCATAACCCTTTTCATAGCTGGGTATTCCCAGAGAGAGAAGGAGGCAGAGAAAAGGAAGCTGTCTGAAAACACGGAGCATCCGCTCTTGGAAACCAAGAATGCACTGGGCCCTGTGGGAACCAGGGAACCAGCACTGCCGCTCGTTCCTGGGAAGTTTGAGGACGCTGTCGCTCACTCTCCCTGTAGATCAAGCATGTCAGACGCGCAGTGGGCGGGCTGCATGCGGGCCGTGAGTTTGACATGCTGGCTGTAGATCATAACCTTGCTCATTTTGTCCGTCCACAGCTGAGCCTGTCTCCGCCTCCGATTCGAGTGGCCAGAAACAAAGATTCACGCTGAAACTAGTGAGTGGGCCTGGGGGCGTTCCCTGGGCCGGGGAGGGACGCGCTGAGGGAGGGTCTGGGGCTTTGGCAAGTGCACCCTGGATCTCCAGGCCTCTCTGTGGGCTGGGGCAGGCAGGAGAGCCAGGGGCAGTGGGACTGGGCCGGGCCTCAGGTTCTTCATCTCCCAGGGCCCTCATGCCTCTCACACTTCCCAGCTCTGCGATCAGGGCACGCGCCTCCCTCTCTGAGATGACTCTCCTCACCTGGGAGGTGGAGCCAGTAATAGCCAGGTCAGGTGGCCCGTCTGCCCACTACCGCCTGCCTCACAGCTGTATTTACTGAGCACCAACCATAATATAAAACTGTGCTGGGTGTTGGGGCTCAGCAGAGAACCAATCAGATGGGGTGCCTGTGCTGAGGAGTCAGGGAAGTCATGCCTGACCTTTTCAAACACAGGAAACATGCACTCACAGGAAACACGTACTCGAGGGGCCAGAAAGAAAAAAATAAATGGAGGAAGTGAGAGCAGCCAGGCCAGTCACGTCATTCAGCCTGGAGGAGGCACCTAGTAAAGGGCATGGGCGTGTCGGGCTCCACCACCATCCCTGATGCCGGGATTGCTTATTTGTTAGTCCTCACCTGAGGGTATTTTTCTATTGATTTTTAGAGAGAGTGGAAGGGAGGGGCAGGGGGCGGGGGAGGGGGGAATATTGATGTGAGAAAGACACATCGATTGGTTGCCTCCCGCACACACCCCAACCAGGGCTGGGGGACAAACCTGTAACCCAGGTACGTGCCCTAGACCGGGACTCAAACCCCAGACCCTGTGGTGCTCTGTGTTTGTGAGGAAGTGCCCAGGGATCAGTACCTGGGGAAGGGAGAGGAACCTCCATGTCTCCCCTGAGCCACACCGGCCAGGGCGTGAGTGCTGGGATCCTGGGTGACTTTTATTTCTTCATATTTTCTTACCCATTCTCACCCCCCTGGAAAACTGGGGCAGCTGGATTGGGTCCCTCTCTTGGCCCTAGATGGATGGAGGCCATGTGAGTGGTTTAGAGCGAGGGTTCCGGAGCCAGGCTCACAGATAAGTAATAGCACCTGCTTGTTGAGCGCCTGTTCCGTGCCCGACTCTGGGCTGAGCGTTTCCAAGCAAGCCTGCCGGGTAGTTAGTTACCTTGTTCCCCAGGGAATCCAGCACTCAAGATTCTTTGTTCACAGCTGTATCTCCAGTGCCCAGAACAATATCGAGCACACAGTGGGTGCTTTATAGAAAGAAAGAAAGAAGGGAGGGAGGGAGGGAGGAAAGGAAGGAAGGAAGGTAGGCAGACGGGTTCTGAAACGACTTCTCTTTGACCCTATGCTCTTATGAAACCAGCTGTACTGGTTGTATTTAAATAATTTATTTGGTTTTACTGCTGGGGGAAAATGTCCCAGTATTAACAATGGTCTTAGCAAACGTACTATTTTATTCTCTTTCACTTAGAGAAGTCTGGGACAGTGGTCCAGGGCTGATATGACGGTTCCATAACCAAGGGGTCCAGTTTCCTTCTCTCTTGTTGCTCCAGCATCCTCAGCCCATAACCTTCATCTGTGGGCTGAAATGGCTGCTCCCGCTCCCACTGTCGCGTATGCATTCCAGCCACAGGGACAGAGAGGAAGGGGAGAGCCTGCCCAGCCCATTGAGGGCATAGCCTGGGAGCTGCCCACATCGCTTTTGCTCACCTCCCCGTTGGCCAGAACTTGTCCTGTGGTCCTTCCTCACTTCAGCGGAGGCTTGGGAATCTAGTTTCTAGCTGAAGGCCGTGTTTGGGGAAAACTTGCAGGTCCCATCATAAAAGAAAGGAAAGGAACCTGGGCGATGGGTGATCACTTGAAGTCTCCGATTCGGGTCCTCGTGTGGCACCCTGGGGATTTGGTTCCGATCTGCGGGACTTGCCGGGAACCTGAGTTGTTGCTGCCATTACCCTGGGGTAATAGTTGGCCAGCAGTGGTGATCTGGGACCCCTTGTCTAAGAGATTCCAGTGTGACAACCTCCTCCCCTCCACCCCACACTAGGATGCCAAGGATGGGCGCTTGTTCAATGAGCAGAACTTCTTCCTGCGGGCCGCCAAGCTTTCGCAAGGTACGCTGCAGGGAGTGGGCAAGAGGGAAGACCTGGAGGTACCAGCTTGGTCAGAACACCTGGCTTCTCCCTGAAGGTGTGGGGAGGGTGGGGCTTAAACAGAAGGCCCTGTCACCCCTCAGTCCTCAGGCCTCACGGGGCAGACAACATGGGTGGAGGCCAGCTCATGCCAGCTCTTGAGAGCCAAGTGTTAAAATTTCAAAATTAGTTCAAGCCAGTTGTTAAACATAGCCCTTATTTAAATTAATCACATCAACTAACAATTCAATAAGTTAGATTAAGAAGAAGGGTAATAAATACTCAAAACTCATCACTTCATAATTATTTGTCTACATTTCTGTAATCTACACCCTTGAGGTTGTTTATATCCTTGTACTTGGATGGTGAGACCAGTACATAACTGTGCTGCCACAAATCCCTTCCCATCTCCACGTTCTGTGACCGTGGTGGGAGTATTTACACCATAGAAATTGGCAAACAGTACAAACCAGAGCTCTTTTCCCCTGGACAGCCAGCCATCAAACTGTTATCAGCACTCTGCTGCCTCTGTACCATCCAAAGGAGATCCTGGAAAATGGGCTAACATCTAGTCACTTTATCAGCACTCTGCTGCCTCTGTACCATCCAAAGGAGGTCCTGGAAGATGGGCTAACATCTAGTGGCACCATGACCAGTTTAGACATTTCCTGACCCGTATCGGAGACTTCAAGTGATCTCCCATCGCCCAGGTTCCTTTCCTGTGAATTCAGAAGTTCTCCCATTCTTATTCCTCCCACTCACTCCAGATTTGTATATTCTTTCCCCCATGTTTACCCCTTGTCACCTGCAGACATAGATGACATTCAGGGGTCACCAGGCCCACCCTGTCAGCACCCCCATTGTCACCCACCCACAGAGGTGGCGTCTCCCACCAGGAGACTCGAGGTCTGGTCTGGGCACAGGCACACTCTGCTTCTGGTCTGAGAATGGACTGCTGTCCCCAAGGGCCTGGGACCAGATGGCTCTAACCTCTCAGGTCCCTGCCTCCCATAGTGAACAAGTGGAAGAAGCTGTCCTCAACCCCCTTACTGGCCATCCCCACCTGTGTTGGTTTTGGCATTCACCAGGACAGGTACAGGTGAGTCGCCTAACTTGCCACCCACCCACTGGTCCCTTCCTTTCTCTCCCTGTCATGCGCTGGGACGTGGCTGGGGCCCTGGAGCCATTGGCCAGTTAGTTGCTTCCTTCCTTTCTCCTGCTTGAGCCAGGCGGATCCCCCACCAATCAGAACCCTTAATCGTGCCTGGGACCAGAACCTCGGGGCCACCCCGCACCCTTCCTTGGTGTCCTTTGTTCTGCTCGCTCCCCGGTCATCTCTCCACCTGGGATGTCGTGTCTTCCAGGTTCTTGGTGCTCCCCATGCTGGGGAGGAGCCTTCAGTCGGCCCTGGATGACAACCCGAAGCACACAATGCCCATGACCGGTTTAGACGTTTCCTGACCCGTATCGGAGACTTCAAGTGATCTCCCATCGCCCAGGTTCCTTTCCTGTGAATTCAGAAGTTCTCCCATTCTTATTCCTCCCACTCACTCCAGATTTGTATATTTTCCCCCCATGTTTACTCCTTGTCACCTGCAGACATAGATGACATTCAGGGGTCACCAGGCCCACCTTGTCAGCACCCCCATTGTCACCCACCCACAGAGGTGGCGTCTCCCACCAGGAGACTCGAGGTCTGGTCTGGGCACAGGCACACTCTGCTTCTGGTCTGAGAATGGACTGCTGTCCCCAAGGGCCTGGGACCAGATGGCTCTAACCTCTCAGGTCCCT